AAAAAAAGAGAGAAAGAAAGAAAGAAAAACAAAAACCTAAAAGAATAGGAAAAAAAAGAGAAAACTGCAGCACTTCAGAATGAGAACATGCCCTACAACTAAATATACAACAACTAAATATATAAAAATATATATGTGAGCTATCAAAATCAGTCAAGGACAAACATTTAACATAAACTTACTGGTGTTAAGGAAAGGCCAATAACATCTTCGACGCGGAAATGCCATTTCCGCCTGCGACAGACAAAAGCTATCTGCTAGCCTATTCCCATAGTGATACCTGAGATCCATTTTTGTGCCGATTTTGATATCTTATAGAGGATATTAGTTTTGCTCTGATACAGCAAATGAGTAAATAGTCATTTGCCACAAAAGGTCTTGTGTTTGAATGTGTCCCTTGTCAACAGCGACCACAACGTTTAGAATAGCATCCCTTGGATTTATCACATTTGGATGTAAAATGTCACAGAAACAAGGATCATGTGGATAGATTCACTAACTGTTAACCAATAATCCAGCTTTATCACATATACGTACACGGCATACGCACTGCAGAACACATAATGCTATTGTAATCAGCTATTACTGTATTAACTCTGTAGGAAGTAGAAATCTCTGTACAATATAATAAATATAACAGAAAATGCTCAGCAACAAAGTAATAAAAAAAGCTAACTTATTCATAAAGTCTCCATAAAAATGCCTTCTGTTGGTTCAGCCAAAAAACCTTAAATGAATAAAAATGCACCCTCAATCCACTTTACAGTTTGAAATTCAGGAATAAAGCCCAGACTGCATTTGGAGAGTAGAGAATGTACAGTGCTCCTGCGTCAACAAACCTCTTCTCCACCAAGTTGTTATTGAAATAACAGTCCAACCACTGGCTCCTCTTTTGAGACAATTAGCTACATTCTGAAACAGCTTTTCTCAGAAGTCTTCACACCTCTCGCTCGCTACAGGAAGGACTTCCTTATCATCATTATATATTTATATATAATTGGTATATATAATGAACTCTCCACGTGTTCAAACTTTACGTTTTAAAAAGTAAACATATAAAAATATCACCTTTATATTTTTAAAAATGTTCACAAAAAACCTTTCTTGGGTGATCAGAGAAATAAAGACGTAGTTTTTAATCTTTTTTTTTTTCTCAGCAAGCTAGCCAATATCTCACAGCAACTGTTACCATCTTGCTGTCTCCGTTCAACAGAAGTCTCCAAATATGGAAATATCCTCTTGTGAGATTGTGACGAAAAAGACTGTGACTGCTTACTTATACCGTCTGTATGCATGCAATGTCAGAGTGACCCTGGGAATTGCTTCTATTATTGCTGCATGTCAGGTTTGCTTATTAAATGATCCTCTTAACAACGAGTTTTCTTGCACAACGTCACTCTCCCTTGGTTGATTGGTGCAGGTGAAAAATCTTCATTTTCACTCTCTCTCTCTTTCTCTCTCTCTCTCTCTCTCTCTCTCTGGGTTGATTGATAGACTGATCCACGTAAAAATCTCAACAATAAATAACTACATCATCACAGAAATATGGGTTGTCACCACTTGTCAACCAGGTTATTGACTGTTGAGTGATTGGTTCGTGACAGCAAGAGTTTCTGGCCTTGCTGCTTATTGCTGCTATAAGCTATGTCTATTATCTATTATCTATTAAAAATTCCCTTCTGTTGCCATGCTGAACAAGAATATATAGAAACGCTATACAGAAATATAATTTTGTGGTTAGGAAATTGGGTACCTGAAAGTTTGAAAAATGTTCCCATTGAAAAGACTGAGCCAATACTGTCTCTTTTTGTCAAATGTCTAATTATATCCCATCTTAAGCTCCAGGTTAATTAATTTGGAAAAAATTGTTTTAAAAATAAATATTATATCAAATTATTATTATTATTATTATAAAAACTGTTGCCAATGAGTAGCTACATAGGGAGTGTATATATTTCAATTTTTTTATTTGTGGAAATTGATTCTTTCTCTCTTTCTTATACCTGGGCAAAGGTATATATGTTGATGTAACCTATGCTTAATTGCAACAGTGCTTTTTATGATTGTTTTAATGATTGTTTAAATGAAAGATGGTATAAATCCAATAAAATATATGCCATGATCCGAGTCAAAATCAAAAGTAAGGAGCAAAGTCACAAACGAGCAAACCAATGTGCAACACAGACCATGGAAAAAACATATTAAAAGTGAAATTAAAATTAAATTGAAACTTTTGTAAACTCTTCTACTAAAAAGCATTATATATTAAATGTCACAGCTGGAGAAACAGAAGAACAGCTTATTTTGTAGTTTTCACTATAGGACAATGGCTGTTGAAATTTAAAAAACATACGTCTAGACATTTTGTTTTAACAATCACACTTTTTCGCTCAAATTGCAAGCACACAAATAAAGAGAAAACAAAGGCTTCCCCGGCAATGTGATTTAAATTGCATTAGCTGCATCCTACACACGACAGCACTCTTAAAACACCTCACTGCCTAGAACTATGATATACAAAAATCAATAACCACAGAAGATTACTAGTAGGTGTCTATGTAAAATACCCTGATTAACTCAAAATAAAACTCATTCTTTTCAAACCAAAGACAGAATGTGACAGTGTTAAAATATGAATTCCTTTTCACAGCAAGTGGTATTTGTACCTCTGCCAAGGAGGTTATGTTTTCACCTCTGTTTGTTTGTTTGTTTGTTTGTTTGTCTGTCTGTCATCAACATAACTCAAAAAGTTATGGACCAATTTTGATTAAATTTTCAGGAACTGGCAGAAGTGGGCCAAGGAACAGATGATTAGTTTTTGGTGGTGATCCAGATCAATTATCAATCAATAATCAAAAATAGCTGCATGCCCTTAGCCAGGGGGGGTTCAGGGGGTTTGAAAGAACCGTCCCTTTTGCTGAGAAAAGGTCCACTCTGGGTAAAATTTGATCTAGGTACATAAAGTTTTTTTGGGAAAAGGTCCACTTTTTCAGAAAAAGAACCCCCCCTTTTGAAATCGCTGGCTACAGGCCTGAGCTGCCTTGGCAGAGATCTGCGCTCTCAGAGTGCTTTTCTAGTTTAGTGATAAAGTCTGTACCGTACACTTTGAAAGGTGGACAACTTCATAGCCTGGCTGTGATGTAAGAAGCCATTCAAAACAGAAGATCTGGGTCTGCCATATTTGATCCATGGACATCTATGTCCTTGGATCATCTGCTCTGAATGAGGCCTAAGATCGCATTCACAACGAGTTGAGCCATGGCTTTACAAATCCTGGAACTAAATATGGCAGACGTACATGAAAGAAAAACCGCCTAATCTTTTAATAGTCTCTCCGCCTCTCACACGCCTCCCCATGTGTCGTCCCTGCGGGGGTACGGTCATTAAATCTCGGCTCCATTGGGAAGACACATGGGGAGGTGTGTGAGAGGGGGAGAGACTATTAAAAGATTGGGCGGTTTTTCTT